TGAACCGCTGGATCCCGAATAACCCTCGTCTCGCTTCTTGCTAGTGTCGTCAAACGGACCGACTTCGGTTCTAAGGCGATACTGAAATTTTTAAATGTGACTCACAAACGCCTCTGATCACGAGCTCATCTGTGATGTGTGTCTCGCTGATGTTCATTTACAACACGTTTTTGAAGCGCTGATCATTGTGGCCAATCACGGATGAGCTCGTGAATAGAACGGCCAATCAGAGGCGTCAGCACATTTTTTTAAAATTTCAGTTTCGACTTGTTACCGAAGCCGCTACTTTTGACAACACCACTTCCTGCACTTATTTAAAAAAAGAAACAACAAACAAATGACTTGATGTGTTTAGTCGTTAGATTCATAACATTGGCTCCTGGGGTTTTTGTTGGTGGTTTTAACTTTGCACAGTTTAATAAAAATAAAAAATAAAACTTTTTTTTTAAATCTTTTTTTTTTTTTCTTCAAAGGGAAAAAACTTGATTTGGGTCGAATGCATTGTTCTGAGATAAAAAAAAAAAAAAAGATTTTAAAAGCTAAAAATGATACGTTTCTGTTGTAGCACTCATCATGAATCCCAGTGAGACGTTGAAGACAAACCCATGTGTTCCTGTACTGAGAATCACATCGTGTGTTCAGTGTGTCTCCAGAATGTGAATGATCTAAGATTGAGTTCCCTTACTAAATCATGGGGGAGATGCGAGTCTTTATATAAAGGATTAACACTCTGGGCATGTGCATATGTTTTGTTTTTTTGAAGAAAAAAAAAGTGATAGCTTTACATAACGTGAATTTAAAAAATGGCTTTCGACATGCAATTCCTCATGGCTCCATCTGCATTTTATGTTATTGTCTTGTTGGAGCATGTTAGTTTATTATTATTTTCCGAACAGCATTTTTTTTGCCATTAACACTAATACAGACTTTGACTTCTGCTGTTCGTCAGAGTCTAAACGTTATTTGGGAACTTATACCTGTAATGATGTTCAATTCAATAAAGTCCCGTTTTCTCACCGGTGTTACATTGTGGATCCGCTCAGTTTTGTCAAGTCACAACCATTTTAGTTAAATATACATGATCTCATATAGATCAAGTGTAGCACGCATTACATACAGGAAACTTCATCGCAACCTCACCTTCTATGCCTCTTACAATAAGTCACTATGAAGCACCCAAAATACTATATTTACAGTTATTAATGATGTTTGTTACGGTTTATTGAGGTGCTATTAATATATGTGTCATCATATTACAGTACTAATGAGACTATCGCATTATGATATTTTAATTTAGGGTGCTGAAAACAACGCCACAATGCAAATGAATAAAAACAAACATTTTACATTTTATTTTAAGGTGTCATAATTATATACAAGTACTGAGTAATATTAATGTTAAATAAACTAACGTTACATGGTTAGGCTGAGAGTTAGTTGCATGTTGCATGATGTACTGGACAAGGAGACTGCAAAATAAAAGTGTTACCTCTATACATCAGCAACGAAAGCTTCATGCTTTCTATAATCTGTGTATTTAATGGAAGATTGAGTATCTGCATCGCATTGCATGTAAGTGTGAGCACGGGAGAGCTAACGAATCCGAGTATTTCCTCTTCTGCGAGCTCGTGACGTATGTTGACGTTGGGCGTGCCCACTGCGCATGCGCTGCTCTGTCACAACGCGCACCAGTGCTGCTGCTGCTAATCTACAGTGTGCTGAGGGATAGTCGCTGTCGAGGTTGATCACATTGATAATGTTTTGCTGAAACTGGTGGCATATTTCTGATCTCCGGTCCAGGACGCAGAATCATGCTGCGCGTGTGTTGGAAAGGGGCGCGTGCAGCGGCGCGGGTGAGTTTATCCTGCGCGAGCGGTCATTCAGTGACCCACACCGAGGCCCGATGACTCGAGTCGTGCTAAATCACGGTTAACAGTAACCCCATGAGTGTTTATGTAATTAACCGGGGATTATATTAAAGCAAATTCGTGGTGAGTTGGGGATTTCATCAGTTGAGGTTTGTTATTTGTAGTTTAGGTGGCGCACCGGTATAGAACGCCGTTGTACGTCAAACGACGTAACGTGCGTTCGAAAGAGGCGTTTCTAGTATGATAGGCAGATCCGTCGAACCAATGAAATCTCACGATGACGTGAGTGACGCCCCCCTTTACCAATAAAAACCTAGCATGTAAAAATGGGCGGGCTTTGTATGATTCATATTTTCTGACACACAAGCTAGCCAACAGCTGTCTGGAAATCTTTAGTTTTTACATCATGTATTCGTCGTTATTTACATGTAACGGTATTTTACTTACACCCTGTTCACGTAGAATATTGTAAGCGTACATATGTACTACAGACCGTCAATTGTTTATTGGTTTTGTCCAATAGAAGGACGTGACCTTGTCATTGTAAAGTTCAGAAAGTTTCCCACACAAACGCTGACGTCATGTTCACCATGGCGCTTTTATGCAAATTAGTGTATCAGTGTAATGAATAATCGATGCCGTGAAAAGAAGCTGATAAACTTTCAACCGTCTTCATGACATTGAAGAAATAGAAACGAAATTTTAGTGACAGCTGTCCATTAATTTATTCATTCATTCATTGTTGCTTATTGCGTTTCACTTGCCTTGTTTTACTACATTTTTGTTTTGATATATATATCATAAACCTATTTTAACTGATCGACATTTAAATCTGAAATGAGTGGCTATTTGTCTAAAACGTTGATGTAGAAGTTCAGTGTAGGAGAAAGCTAACTTATCTCTTGAATGTTGAATGCTGTACTTGATCTAATGTAGTGTGTGTGAGATGTTGATGTGTGTGTGTTTGTTTCTCTGCAGTGTGGGAAAGCGTCGGCCCAGCCGTTACAGCACTGCCGCAGATACACCACAGCCGGACACTCCGGGTACCACCTCAAACCCTAACACACAACCTTTATTGCTGAATTATACCATTAGCATATTATTCCATTAGTGCATTAGCATGCCAATGACCTGTGACTGAAGAAAATCTACCGGCGGCCATAACTATTTTTTACCGGCCATGAAACTGTTTTAGCAAAATTGTATATACCAGTGAAAATTCACAACTATCTATTCCAATTTCGACAATTTATATAAGTTTAAAACCAGAGTTTGTGCACACAGGTCTTCTGCGGGGAAGGTCGTGGCCGCCGGTCTGCTGACGGTGGGTGGCGGTGTTGGCGGGACGATCCTCTATGCCAAATGGGATCCGAAGTTTCGTGCAAACATAGAGAAGAGCGTCCCGTACTCTGATCAGGTGTTCGAGATGGCGCTCGGGCGGCCCGCGCCTCCACCCGCTCCTGTGCTGAAGAAACCGGTAAGAGTTACTCTCACTTCACTTCTCAGACCATGGAGGGATTCAGACGCTGTGCTTCAGTCGAGTCTCCTTCATTTATGCAGAGCTTTTAACAATATGGACCGTTTCAAAGCAGCTTTAAGGGCCGTACACACCGGGACGAATCAGCGTTTTTTCAACACGTTTTTTGCGTTCGCACCCAAGCGATTTTCTCTGACGATGAGCCGAGTGAACATGCTAATTCATTCCCTGACATGATTCATCTGGCCTTGCATCTTCCTCGTCTTATTTCTTCTCGCCAGTGTATATCTTCTTCGCCGTTACGTATGTGTGCTCGGTAAGCAGTGATTATAAGCAAGTAATTAGTTACTGTAATTTAATTACTTTTCCCTTGAAAATTTAAAGTAAGGGATTACTCTTCATTTATCTGTAATTTAATTAGAGTTACTTCTGATGTAATTGAGGTAAATACTGTGTATAGATCAATCCGATCTCACAGCGATTCGTATGCGTTTTATGAGGTGTCTAAATCGTATGACCGCACTCGTACAAATTCGTATGAATTATTGTAAAATATGTATGAAAAAAGTCTGAAATGTCATGAGATCAGACATAAAACAATAGTGGGTTTAACATCAAAATGTATTGTCTGATGCTAAAAAGTATGTTTTTATAATGTAACCTTCTCCACCGTGGTCAGTTTAAGGATAATTCATGCAATTTTATAGTATTTATTTGAAAGAATTTAAACCGATTCATGTCGATCCTTGTATTATTCAGCTGGTTGAGATCGATATGGGATTTTGAAAGTAATTATTAATTAAAAGTAATTAAATACTTTTTAGAGAGTAATTCGTACAGTAATCTAATTACACTATTGAAGATGTAATTAGTAATTAATTACTTTTTTAGACTAACTTACCCAACACTGTCGGTAAGACCGTTGTGTGTTTGAGCGCCCCCAAGTTGTGTTTTACTGTAACTTCAGAAGCTCCAGACACGTGAGCCAATTTTTTGACGCGGCGTCAAACTAAAAAACGAACCCGAGCCGTTTAAAAAAAAAAATGACGCTTTTACGTGTGGCGTTTTTCGCGTCGGTGTGCACACTCACATTAGCGCCCTTTGTTTAGTCACGAGGCGTTAAACGTCGGCGAGTATCGCGCGCCTTTACAGTGAGAACAGGAGATTACAGTAACAGATCTAGAATAAAGTTATAGATGAAGTTAGTTTTGATTGATTCACTTCCGTTGTAAAGATCATTAGTTCATTAGTACGCGACACCGCTCTAACAGAAAACCCTTAATGTGTTCTGGACGTTAATTTGCACTACAACGGTGTTCGGTGCTCGAGGACGCAAACTTTAAAACAACTTTATCATCAAAAACATGAATCTGTGAAACGCTGATATGTGCACATGCGTGTCACGTGTTCATCTATAGACCTTTTGTAGCCCCGCCCCTTTTCAGCGCTGCGCTCGTTGTCTTTTGTCTTCCCGGTCTGTATTTTCACAGCGATCTTGCCTATTTATGAATAGGGTTAGGTATCGAGAATCGAGTATCGATTGGAACCGAGACGAACTTTTCGTTTTTCCCGGAATCGTTCAAAAGTTAAAATTTCGATTCCTAGTTTCGATATTCACAGTCCGCCGAGCGGAAGAAGAAACCGCTGAACAACACCAACGAAGAAGCGTCTACCGGAAGTGTTGGCATAACCACGCGAGTCGAACATGAGTAGCTTACGTCGGCGGTCCAAAGTGTGGCTTCACTTTTCTAAAAATAACGAAATCTCGGCAAAATGCAAAATTTGTGACAAAAGGGAGTATTTTTACAGAAGGAGTATTTCCTTCAGAAAGGCCGTTGGTTAGCAAGGTTAGCTAAACTTTTTTGACCCCGCCTCTTAAAAGAATCGGAATCGAGAATCGTTAGGAACCGGAATCGAAACAAGGAATCGGAATCAGAATCGTTCAAATTCAAACGATACCCAACCCTATTTATGAATGAACGGCTCGTTTTAAAATCTTCCCGGTCTACTGACGTTTGTTAAGACATCTGCTTTAAACATTACAATCCTCGTGATAACTTTTGTTAACTTTAAATTAAGTAAATCCACTTCAAAAGCTAATTACTCCTGGACAGAAATGCCATAGAGATATACAGAGCGACCGCAAAAACGGAAGCTCAAAGACTATATTTTAAAAGATGACGGCGCCCACGTTTCTCTGGTGCATGAGGTCTATAGGGATCAGTGCTTGTGTCAGGTGGATGTGAACAGGGATGTTTCCTTCAACAGGGGAAGATCGAACCCCTGCAGATCTCCTCCGTATCCGAAGCGCTGAAGGAGTCCAAGCAGCCGAAAGCTAAAGCTGATCCGACACCTGTAAAAGCAGCGGCGCTGGCAGAAGAAGCTCCGGCTCCGGCACAGACACTCCAGGGTGAGCGAGACTCACACACACACACACACTCGCCGTCTGTGCTCTTGACCACTTGCTCTTAATGTGGCATTTCCTCTTAAAAAGGCGTAAAGACTGCAAGTGTGTGTAGAATAGTGTTGTCAAGAGTACTGACTGCGGCACTAACGCCAGGACATGAGAATTCAGACAAAAGTGTGTCTGATGTGTTCATCGCTTTGAATATAAAGCTTACAAAATGTTTATTATACCGGGAAACTAGCGCTACGACCCAGAGTCTGCCCTACTTTATGCCCAGGAGCCGATGTGTGGTCTGACATTATCCTTCACTGAAACACAGTGCCTAGTAGGTTAGACTAGTGCGCTAGAGCATTTACAGCTGCGGGATTTACTGTTAAAAAATCCTTTTATAATGACCTCAATATTCAAGATAAGGGGCAAACATACCTCTCTGTTATATTTACAGCATTTATTATAGTTAATATCAGCACGATTACAAATGTGATATTGGTTTTATACAACAGTTCAATTAACAAGTAGCTAATATTAAGTGACTTACACAATATCGCCTGTTTTTGCTCTATTTCACAAATGAAAATAGTTCGAGATCATTTTTTTGTCAAATAACCAACTTGAACACGAGCGAAATCCAAATGGGGATCTTCCTTCGAGTTTGCCCACGTTTTATTAAATGTTTCCACACTTTAAGTAGGGATGGGCAACGATTAATCGCAATTAATCGCATCCAAAATAAAAGTTTGTGTTTACATAATATATGTGTGTGTGTGGTGTGTATAATTAATTTGTATATATAAATACCAACACATGCATGTATATATTTAAATGTGTTATTAATATATCAAATATTTATATTTATATATCATATTAATTATGTATAAATATATATAAAGTATATACATGCAAAGTAAAAACATGCATGTGTGTGTATTTTTATATGCAAATTAATTATACACACTACACACACATATATTATGTAAACACAAACTTTTATTTTGGATGCGATTAATCGCGATTAATCATTGCCCATCCCTAACTTTAAGGCACTCAGATCTCTCTATAATAGGGCTGTCAAACGATTAATCGCGATTAATGGCATCCAAAATAAAAGATTGAACACATGCTTGTATATATTTAAGAAATATTTTCATGTTTATACTGTATATAGATTTATATATAATTTATATTATATATAATATAAATATTTTACATATAAATAATATTTTTTTCTTAAATATACATGCATGTGTGTGTATTTATTTATATGTGTGTATATATATATATATATATATATATATATATATATATATACAAAATAATTATACACAGTGCACCCACATATATTATGTAAACAGACTTTTATTTTGGATGCGATTAATCGTTTGACAGCTGTACTATATAATAGATATTTTTTATTTCAGTGATCATGGCATGTACTAGTGACCAAGAGTTCAGTGGGTGAAAGGTTACACAAGACTGACAGCATTACCTCAGAGACAGTGTTTAATCAGAGCAGTGTTGATCCCAACCTTACCAGGACGCCATTATACGAGAAATGAATGTTTTAGTTGTTGTTCTTCATGGAGGCAGGGCATTTTACACGAGATCTGGAGGATCATGCAGATTTCTCTTGATTTAATGCACTATGACAGAGTAATTACGATTTCTGCTATAATGTCAATATTTGACGTCTACTATTAGAAATAATACTTCAGCTGTAATAAAATGTGTCGGTCACAGATAGATAATGCCTGACAAACATCTGTTCACTCCAAGAGAAAATATTATACTATACATATATATATATATATATATATATATATATATATATATATAGCGCAAAATACAGTTCTGGAAATGTCTCATTCATAAGTCCTCTCCTGTGGCCTCATGGGATAGCACAGTGTCCATCAGATGGAAGTAGTTGGTCATCTGTGTATTGTTCACCTACTATTTTATGAAAACAGTGAATTCAGACATACTGCTCCATTAATGCACTGTTTCCTCCTGCGATATAGTAGGTAAGTGGATATTGGGGTGAGGGTGGGCGTTAAAGGGTTAGGTCACCCTAAAATGATGTCATTAATGACTCTCCCTCTTGTTGTAAACAAACTCAACCCAAGCGCTCTTTGCTGACGTGGTGATCATCATCGTATAAAGCCCGCCCTGATGATTTGATTGGTCCGAACATACTTGCTTCACAACGGATCAAGTCCAGACCGAACTTGCCGAGCTCAGATGTTGTGGGCGGGGCTAAGCTAATAATATGCAGGAGCAGAACACAGGTTTTGCTTTATAGGCCAAACCTGAAAAAATGGCTCCATCTGGTTAAAAAAAAATAATAATTTTGAAGCCTTGCCAACAGAATGAAAGCATATTAACAAAGATTGCATCATTGGATACTTAAACGGCCGTTTCAAAGGGGAGATTTCTGTCCTATTGTGTGTTACTGGTGCAAAATAAGTTTACTAAAGGAAATGTGGGTGAAATTTAAATTAAAATACACACCTGTGCCAAAATATATGCAGATGGCATTAATAACACAGGCAAAATGGTCGCACAAGGGTTAAAACACACACACACACACACCAGCTGAGTGTTTGATGTCCTGAACCCACTAAAGCGAGTGCTCTGCTGGGTCTGATGTGTGTTTCTCATGAGTACCACTGTTATTACACACACACACTCCTCAGTTTAATGTGTAATCGCACTACTGTTGTTGCAGAAGCCTCAGCAGAGGCCGCTCACATAATCTCTGCTATCAGCGATGTGCCCTCTATGCCCGCGCCGGGTACGAGTGACGAAAGCCCCGCGCCGGCAGGTCAGAACCGGCTCACACACACACACACACACACACGCCTGCTGTGTGCTGTTGGCCATCAGTGTGTCTTCCTCTCTGCATGATCTCAAGCGCCGTCCATCCTCCGTGTGATCATGTGACGCATGCTAACACCCGCTGTGTTCACTGTGTTTTCTTCAGTTCTTCACTTACACTGTGTGTTAACCACTATTCTTATCCAATTACTAACCAATGTCCGTCCTCTTTTTTATGAGTGTGTGTGTGTGTGTGTGCAGCCAGTGAAGTCAGCGCACTATAAAGATGTATTTATTGTCTTTCATTATTTCACATCACCCATTTTTTTGTATTTTTGTTTGCTAACTGCTTTAGTGAAACATGATTTTATTTGTAATGTGTGTGTGTGTGTGTGTGTGTGTGTGCAGCTGAAGAGTGTCATCATGAGCCTGAGCTGAAGGAGAGACCGGCGGAGGAGGTGAGCGCTCGACTCGAGGAACAGGACCAAGCGGAGCAGCGCGTGCTGACAGGCGAGTCTCACACACACGTCTCACACACACACACACCTGATTTATAGAGATGTTCTCGGTATAAACTGTAATATTGTACGTCGTTCTTCTGAAATTGCAGCTCTGACGGCGGGGCTGGAGGAGTCTCTGGGCAGCTCTGCTAAGGTCACCCTACAGGCCATCGGAGCGCAGGAGGCGGCACTCGCTGCCATCACGGCACACACTGACCAGCTCAGAGAAGCCATGGACTCACAGGTGCACACACACACACACACACACACATGATCAGTCAAACTCACAGAACAGACCAGAATCACAACAGACTGACCAATCAGAGCAGAGTAGACCAATACGCATAACCGGCACATCCGGGAACTTAACTGTCGATTTTGTCCCCGCCCCCTTTTGGGAGAAACAAACTAGACTCCCCATAGACTTCAATACAAAATAACGGCAAAAACCAACGTCTGTACACAGTAAATAACTTAATAAATCACTTATATAAAACATGTCAAGTAATTATATGTCCACCCTGCCCGCCATAGAGCGTGAAAGAGACATTTACGTGAAAGAGAAACTAGCCCTACCTGCCATCATCATCATAAATTCATAATATATACATTAAGGTTTTTTACTTTAAAAAACGAAATAAAATCATTCAGGGGCTTAAGCGTCCGGGTGAGACACCTCTGGCCACTGGGTGGGGTTGTTACACCAATTTGATGCTGGGAGAATAAAGGGACGTGTTTTTAAATTGGCAAAATTAAGTTTGTGTATTTATCTTTCACGCTCTATGGCGGGCAGGGTGGACATATAATTACTTGACATGTTTTATATAAGTGATTTCTTAAGTTATTTACTGTGTACGGACGTTGGTTTTTGCCGTTATTTTGTATTGAAGTCTAAGGGGAGTCTAGTTTGTTTTCCCCCAAAAGTGGGCGTGAACCTATTCAGAGACATTCTATGACGCAGCGCCGGTTGTGCGTATCACAACAGACTGGGCACTTCGGACCAATCAGAGCAGAGCAGGCTCTCGGAAAGGCGGGGTTTAGACTGAATCCTTGTGTGAGAAAAGAGCTGATGCTGCAATATATAATGAGAAAAAAACTTTATATATAGAGTGTGTGAGACATCTGAGGCTGTGACGAGCTGATTTCTGTGGTCATAACACGTGTGTGTGTGTGTGTGTTCAGACTCCTCCAGATGAGAAGTCAGCGCAGTGGAAAGCTCTGACTGAAGCTCTGAGCGAAAGAACCAGAGCTGTGGACGAGGCTGGAGACGCCCTGCTGAAAGCCAAGTGAGATCAACACACACACACACACACACACAGATATTGAGGAAGACACTGTGACTGGAGCCTTACTTCACACTATCAGCTGTTTTGGCATGTTAATGTTGCATGGTATACAGTCCCTCCAGAATAACGCGATTATGCGATCGCTGAATTCAATGCAAAATCAGCCAAAGTCCGCATATTTATGCGGGGGCTGCATTTTTTCAAATACGCCGCACTTTCGCCACATAAATTGCCGATTTCCGTGCAAAATATGCGGGGTTTGCATAATTTCATAATCCTCGCATTTTCGTTGCAAAAAAAGTATTTTAGCAGAAAGTTGAAAAATGTTGCGTTTGCTTCACACAAGAGCAGCCATTTTCCCCCTGTTTCCATGGGAACGTTATGAAGTGACGCAATTACGCGACGCCAGACAGACTCACGGAGGCGATTGACATCTAACAAATCGAACTCGTATAACTGTCTCACACGTTCTACCGTCACATCGTTACTTAATAAACAACATAAGATAAAAGAAGCAGCATCAAACAGAAATTACCCGCACACATGGGGTGTTCGAGGCGCACACATAACACTGCAGAGAGTTCAACAGGGAGCGCGCAGCTCTTAAAGGGGCCACACCTTATTTACACTCGTTACAGTCTGAAATAAAACAAGATGAGTTCCCAGCACTTTCTATGATGTAGTATGCTTGCTTATCAAAGGAATTAATAAGAAATGACTCTTACATTAGCCGAGTGAGAACAGGATGTTGGGGGAATCTCTTTTTTTCTCTTTTTCATCAAACCGCAATTTTTGCAAGTTCCCTCAATTTTTGCAAATTCCTGCAATTTCATCGCATAAAATTGCATAAATATCCCGCATATTCCATCGCATTTTTAAAGAAAACGGGCCGAGTAATCAATCAATTTTTGCCCGCAACAATCACAAAAAAAGTCCGCGTTTTTCTGGAAGGACTGAATACTATTATGGTAAATGTTATATATAAATCGCACATTTTTTCACAAATTTTTGGAAATTAAAATTCAGTCAAATTCAATCAAAATCAGTCATTTTGATCGCAAAAATCACAAAAAAAAATCGTGAAATCCTGGAGGGACTGGGTATATATCGCTATATATATATATTAGGGCTGTCAGTTAAATGCGTTATTAACGGCGTTAACGCAAACCCAACGGCGTCAATTTCTTTTTTTATTGCGCGATTAACGGTCTTTTTGGCCAAGCAAACTTTGTCGGTTTTTTCACATGCTTTTGCAACATGACGCTGCGCTATGAAACCCATTCAGAGAAGTTGGAGAACAACATGTGTCACGTAACATTACATTTACCTCAGGCCCTATGCCTCAGACTCAGCACGCATGTTAGTTGGACTTAAAATAATTGCTATAGAGAGGAGCATTTTGCTAAATATGATAACTATATTACACATTTATTATATTTGACCTATATCATTAAAATATTATAACGTTGTTTGTTATTATAAAAACGCATCATGTTTAATTTGAGTTAGTTTTAACCTTTGATAATACCAGCTGACAGGGCTCCCTGTGTGTTTACTCTGCATTAGGTAATTTATTTTTGGAGAACAATTAACATAACACATTAACGTATCTATTGTACCTATTAATATTTATCCAAAGGAATTGATATTGAATCAATATCAGAATCAAATCTTTGAAATTGTGAAATTTGTGTTAAGCAATAATAAAAACAGTATAGTCTTTGTGTTTATGGTTAATAAACCTAATAAAATTATGTTTAGTTAACAAATAATTTGACAATCACAATAAACTTATTTTTTTTTTATCCCAATCCACCCATTTCATGTTATTATGTTACATTTACACTATTTACAATGACAGGGTCTGGTGCCCTCTTGTCTTTTTGACTTGTTGTTATATCACAGATAATATCACAGAAGGGAATATCAAAACAAAATAAAGTTAAAACTTGTTTTGAACAATTTCTTTGTCATCTGCAGATGACAATCTGGGATTTTTTTTTTTTAGGCCATATCGCCCAGCCCTAATGGAAAGTTTACTTTTAAAAAGTTGCCAAATGGTTCAATTGACAAGACCTGATCTGTGTGTTTGTCGTTGTGAACTGAGCTATCATCATCGCAGCACGTCCAGTCTGAAACACCACTTGATGATGGCCAAGCACACACAAAAAGAAATCAAAGGACATTTAGAATAGATAAAAATGTGCGATTAATTGCGATTAATCACAAGTTAACTATGACATTAAAACTGTCACCCCCCCTTTTTTTGAATATAGATGAAAATGCACATTTCGAACTTAAATGGTTGTAATTCAAGAATGCTTTGGAATATAGACATATGATTGGTCTTGTTTTAAAGAAGACATTTGGCAGATTTTTGTAGAAGTGAAATAAATTAAGAAAGTGAAACAGAAAAAAAGTTATAGAAGTTTGAGTTTATGGAAATGTACAATGTAAAAATATTAATTATTCATATTTTACATACAATATATATTTTCAAAACCTGGGCTACTCTAAAACATCAGAAAGATCAAAGCCAAAAAATCTGAACAAGTTGTGTTTCAAATTTTAGGTTGATGTCTCAAAAAATGAGCTTTCAGTAAGATTTTGTTTGAGCGCAGTACCAAACTTTTTCACTAGGGCACAATCAGACTCCATTACTGCCCATATAAGGGCGCCTGCATTTCCATTTGTGTTTTGAGTGATATAAACCATTATTTTCACAATTTTCAAACAATTTCTGAAGTAGAGATCCTATTCAGAAGTAGTATGGGAAGTTTGGCAGATTTTGAAATGAATTGAACCTCTAAGAAACACATACAAAGAACACGCATGTAAGTCATAGCTAGCTGCCACGTCACAAATGGTGAATTTATTATTTTTTTCTTGATATTTCAAACTTTTCAGACCTTTTTTCCAAAATAATTGAATGGATTCTATCTTTTGAACTTTTGGCATGAAAACAAACTGAGGTATCTACCATTTTTTCATGATTTTTCATGTTTACTGCTATTTTAAAATAAAGGTCTGAACACGCCTTATGAGTATGAAAATATTCTTGTTGCATATTGATAAATTATGGCTCCTCTGTAATATATTTTGAAAATCAGTCACCAAAATATGGAAACTAGAGATTGTAAGCTTTCAAATGATATATAGTTTGTCAATATTATTTAAGGTATTTACTAAGATATTATTGTTTTAAAAATATAGTGGCAAACGTCCCACCTGTGGGACGGTGACTAATCGCGATTGACTATTTTAGTCGTTTGACAGCAATAATATATATATCATCTTATTTTTGTTAGGAATTAAATGTGTGTGTGTGTGTGTTCCAACTCAGAGGAGAGCTTGAGAAGCTTCGTGAAGTGATCAATAGCGCAAAGCAAAGCAAGCTGGAGTCGGCGAGACCTCAGATCCTGGCGGCCGAGGAGAACCTGCACAGCATGATCGTGGATCTGGACCGAGTCGTCACCAAGGTGAGCGTCTTGGGGAAACCCGGCACACACAGTCAAACCAAACAATATTCACACACCTGATAGCATTCGTGATATCTCTTTACTAGTGGGATCAGGACATCACACTAAAGGAAGGAATAAAGTAAAGTGTGACTTATTATACCCAGAATCAGTTTAGTTTATTTCTAAAGCACTTTTAGTGACCGCAGCCAGGCTGACCTCAGTACAGTACAGAATAATAATACCACAGGATTACTAGGGTTGGGTATCGTTTGAATTTGAACGATTCTGATTCCGATTCCTTGTTTCGATTCCGGTTCCTAACGATTCTCGATTCCGATTCTTTTAAGAGGCAGGGTCAAAGTTTAGCTAACCTTGCTAACCAACGGCCTTTCTGAAGGAAATACTCCTTCTGTAAAAATACTCCTTTTGTCACAAATTTTGCATTTTGCCGAGATTTCGTTATTTTTAGAAAAGTGAAGCCACACTTTGGACCGCCGACGTAAGCTACTCATGTTCGACTCGCGTGGTTATGCCAACACTTCCGGTAGACGCTTCTTCGTTGGTGTTGTTCAGCGGTTTCTTCTTCCGCTCGGCGGACTGTGAATATCGAAACTAGGAATCGAAATTTTAACTTTTGAACGATTCCGGGAAAAACAAAAAGTTAGTCTCGGTTCCAATCGATACTCGACTCTCGATACCCAACCCTAATGATAACAGATCAAAGGAAACCCAGAACAAAACAAGACGTTACAAAGCCTGTATCTTCAGACCTTATTACAGTGTAGTGAAACACACCGATAGCTCTGTGTTTCAATATATGGAGATTTATAGACCTATCATGTATTTATAGACCTAGATTTAGATTTATAGATGTATAATCCTAGATTATCCAGAGATTTATAGGCTATTAGTCTCGATTCTATAATTAACTGGTGACCAGTGTAGGTCTGTCATGAGGGGAATCGACATTTTTACAGCCTTTCTAAAATCTGCTTTGAGCTGATGATGTTCTGCTGAAGTGTGTTTTCTGCTCTTTTTACACACACACTGAACAACATGAAGCATTGCTTGGCCACTGGTTGAGCTAAACTGGTGTTATCTAATTGTGCTGACAGATATTCAACATAATTCATGTGTGAGAGTCCAACAGAAGGACAAAACCAGTCAAATACACAGTGTGTCTCACACATGTGTGTGTGTGTGTCTGTGTGTGTGTGTTGTGCAGGTGCAGACGGCGCAGTCCGAGGCGAAGGTCGTGTCTCAGTACAGTGAGCTGGTGAACGAAGCCAAAGCTCAGTTCCAGCAGGAGCTCGCCAACATCACGCCTGAGATCCAGGCAAACTGGAAGGGACTCGGTGAGATCACACACACACACACACACGGCCCAGTTCACGAGTCTTTCGGCACCTCACGATCCGATTCAAATCAATTCTTGATTTTTTTTTATCAAATTTCGATATGTGCTTTTGTCCCTTTAAGAATAAATGCACGGATCTAATATAGTGTTACACATGTGATTTCCTCCCTATTGTGGTTCGCGTGGGAGTCGCTAAGAATCAGAATCGCTAAAATTCAGCGATAGCCAACCCTAGCGGTAGATCATGTCAGACAAGACCGCAGTTCCAGCTCTGCTCTGTTGTGTTTGCCAGCAGGGAAGCTGAGCGCTGATGACCTGAACTCCCTAATCGCTCATGCGCACCGGCGTATTGACCAGCTGAACCGCGAGCTAGCGGAGCAGCGCGTGCGCGAGCAGATCCACATCGAGGCGGCGCTGGAGCAGCAGAAGCTGGAGGACCAGAAAGCGCTGGAGCGAGCCGTAGCGTCGGCACTCGAGCACAGCCGAGAGGACATCCGGATCCAGCAGGAGAAGAAGGTGCTGCAACACGCTAAACACACTCACACGCTAACACACGCTTACATGCTAAACATACTCACAGTCTAACACACCCTTACATGCTAACACACATGTTTACATGCTAAACACTCTCACATGCTGACACACTGAAACGTTAAACACCCTAACATGCTGCAACACATGCTAACATGCTAAACACACTCGCGCTCACACGCTAAACACATTGATATGCTAAACACTCACACTGCAACACACTCACATGCTAACACACATGCTCACATGCTAAACACCCTCACACGCTAACACAGTCAAACGTTAAACACACTAACATGCTGCAACACACGCTCACATGCTTAACGCATTGACATGCTAAACACTCACACGCTGCAACACGCTAAACACACTCAGACGCTAACACGTTAAACCCTCGTACGTTGAAACACGTGCATGTTGCAACACACTGACACACTACAACACTCTTACACGCTAAACACACGCTTACATGCTAAACATACTCACATGCTGCAACACACGCTAACATCCTAAACACACTCACGCTCACACGCTAAACATGCTTGCACGCTAAACACTCACGCTCACACCCTTAACACATTGACATACTGAACACTCATGCACACACACTGATGCACACTCACGTTGCAACGCTCTAAACACACTCACACGCTAACAAACTAAACACCCTTGTACATTGCAACACGCACACTCTAAACACACTCACATGCTGCAACACGCTAAACATACTCACAGGCTAAACACTCACACGTTAACACGCTAAACACTCACGCTCACACGCTAAACACACTCACATGCTGCAACACGCTAAACACACTCACGCTACAACAGCTAAACGCACTCACAGGCTAAACACACTCAACGCTAAAAAACGCTGGGACATGTTACAGTTTTTTTTTTTTAAAGAGTCTCTTCTGCTCACCAAGGCTGCATTTATCTGATCAAAAATACAGAAAAACAGTGTAACATCACTTCTTTTTTTGACCATATATGTGTGTATTCTTAGGAATGTCAAACTTAAGAATTATATTTTTAGCATCAGTAAGAATGAGTTTAAAATTACAAACCAATCATTTAAGTTTCACCACGAATGCCATTGATTATGAGTTTATGGCTGAAGAAGGTCTTGCTTCAACGCCCTCAGCGCTGAAGCTAAACACAAGAGTTGGGACACATTACTATTTTAAATGTTTTTGATCAGAAGTCTCTCCTGGAGCAGTTTTTAAAGCTTAAAGGTGTGTGTGTGTGTGTGTGTCAGCTCCAGGAGGTGCGTGAGGTGCTGGAGGCGGAGATGAGGACTCAGCTAAGGCGTCAGGCAGCGGCTCACACTGATCACCTGAGGGACGTGCTGAAGGTTCAGGAGCAGGAGCTGCGCCAGGAGGCTCAAGAGGTGCACACACACACACACCAAGCGCTCATTAACAATTCCAGCTCTTCACGCCAGAAATGCGATGGGCGACCTGTGTGACTGACTGATATTGACTCCTAAATGCCAAGAATCGATCTGTTAGTCAGTGCTGTTTTCATTGAGCTGGACTGAACATTATTCGTAGCTCCTCCCGTACGATTAATCGCAGTTAGCGTTGTGCTATTTCATATCAAAAGTAACAAATCCTGTCAGTTTGATCAGTGAACACAGTAAATGAAAGTGTGTTAATGTGTGTGTGCAGGTCCTGAGCAGTAAGATGATGGAGCAGGAGACTCATTACCGCAGACTGACCCAGGAACAGCTGGACACCTTCACGCTGGACATGAACGCGGCGTACGCCCGACTCAAGGGCATCGAGGAGGCCATCGACAGTAAGCCTTCGCCAGCTGGCTCGTCACACACACACAGTAGTTCTGCTGTGAACATCGTAGGGCTGGTTAATAAATATCGATTTCTCGATATTAATCGATTCTCATTTTTACGAACCGATATCGATTCTTAAATCTCAAGAATCGATTAGTCATCCTGTTTTATTTGAATGAATGGATCATTGTATCGCGGCTGCGCGCATCCAAAAAATCACAATAATCTTTGTTCTTTGTTACTATTGATATGAAACAAAGTCTCAATTTTCCAATTACGTCCATTTTCTTTAGAAACTCAAAAACATAAATAGTTTTTATGATTTAAATGTTTATATTTCATATAATATTCTTATTATAAAAATAATTAAAGTGTAATTTAAGTGTTTGTATAGCAACAAAACAGTTCATTATTACCTTCATATTAGGCTAATGAAGCCTATAGGCTACAACTAGACTCCCATAGTTTACAGCATTAGTTGTTGACAAAATTTGCCATTTATTGTAAATGATATCCAAAATAATCGATATTGAATCGAAATCGAATCGAATTGTGAAATTTGTGTCAATACCCAGCCCTAGAACATCGGCTAACGGTTAGCGGGTCGCGGCAGTGCTCTCTGTTTATCTTTTGCAAAATAGCTTTTTGTGGTATCATCCACACATGCGTTGATAACATAACTGCAGTAAAGTAATAGCCGTGTTTACTTAGGATAATACTGTATTTTATATTATTAAAACTTGTAAACTTTTATCTATTAAGACAGAATTTTCGGTAACACTTTCCTTGAAGGGGTGTGCATAAGACTGACATGACACCTTCATAATCATGACATGACACAAGTTTTATGTCATGAGGCTGTTATAACATGTTAATGACAAATGGGTAAAAAAAACCCCACCATAAATGAATAGACAAAACTTTATCGAAGACAGTGATATAACATTTATAATAAATAAAAATTAGGATCACACTTGAGTCCTCTGTGCCCACATTTGTCCACAATTACAGGATTAAGGGCTAAAAAGTGACCCTAATGTGTTCTCCTCTGTCTCCAAGATCATGTGACCCTAATGTGTTCTCCTCTGTCTCCAAGGTCATGTGACTGCTGAGGAAGAGGCCCGCAAGGCTCACCAGCTGTGGCTCTCCGTAGAGGCTCTGAACTACACGCTGAGGTCCGCCGGTGCCGACTCCCCCACCGAGCCTCTAGAGGGCGCTGTGCTCGCCATCAAAGAAACCTGCGCGCAAAACGAGTTCGCCCAGGCGTTAGCCACCGCTATTCCCGAAGAGTCTCTGAGCCGAGGCGTCTACAGCGAAGCTAGCCTCCGCGCGCGCTTCTACGACATCCGCCGGCTCGCGCGCCGCGTGGCGCTCATCGACGAGACCCGCAACAGTCTTTACCAGTACTTCCTGTCCTACCTGCAGTCCGTCCTTCTGTTCGAGAGGGTGGAAGAAGCGCCGCCGGCGAAACTAGCGGGCGAAGATCTCGACACGTTCAAGCTGCTCGCCTACGCCACGTACAGCATCGAGCGCGGAGACCTGGAACTAGCCGCCAAGTTCATCAACCAGCTACGCGGCGAGTCGCAGCGCGTGGCGCAGGACTGGCTCAAAGAAGCCCGGCTCACTTTAGAAACCAAGCAGGTGGTCAGCCTGCTCTCGGCGTATGCTAATGCCGTGGGGTTGGGCACCACGCAGGCGCCTTAGCCACACCCACGTGACCTTAGCCACACCCACATGATCTACATCACCCATTGGCCACACCCACATATCCCTTAGCCACACCCACTCTGTGGAGATTATGTAAATTACGAGGTCTGTCATTTGCCCACTGTTAACGGAGCCTTCTGCTCAGCTGATTAATTTATTAATAGTTTCGTGTGCTATCCAGAAATCTGTCCGAATTACGTTTGCAGGAAGTGTTTGCCCTTTAAACAGTTCTCAAGTGGCTCCTATACGCGTAGAAACGCATCTCCAGGTTTTGTTGATCTCGACAGTGGCGGCACTCGGTGTATATGCCGCGCATCTCACGGATGCTAACCTGTTCACGGTGCACGTGTAACGCTACAGTTTCAAAGTTATATATTTACTGGTTGTTTATTAACGCAGACTGTTGAGAATAATCAGTGCTCTTCTCATTCAGGATTGGAGATCAATAAATCACGTTTGTTGACAAGAATGGCATTTCAGTTATTTGCATGTGTTTTAAAAACAGTCAGATCTGGTTTAGTAGGTGAAAATCCAGCGTTTAATGTTGTTTATGTGTGTATGTGGTGTTTTTAATACGCTTTAAGTCAAAGACAGTCTCAAAAACAAAAGCTTTGAAATCGCTGGTGTTTCTGACGTCACAAACCACCTTGTAACCAATCAGACCAACGTGTAATCGTCAACCAGTGGATCTCTGAGTGAGTGAGTGAGTGGAGGCAGGGCTCATTTTCATATTCATAGAACCATACATACTTAGATATTTTTAAGGGATAAAATGATTGACTACAGGGGGACTTTTCCCCTCACATACAGTTAGGTCACTATATATTTGGACACTGGAAAAAAAAGTTTTTTAGCTGTTTACCAAAACATGCTCAAATTATGGTTTAATAATGAACATGGGCTTAAAGTGCACAGTCTCAGATATTTTAAGTGTATTTACTCGGATCCAAATTGGAGGAAAGGTTTAGGAATTACTGCTCTTTAATATGTAGACCTCTCTTTTTCAAGGGATTGTTGTGGCAAAAATCCTGTCAAGCATCATCACTGCGTAAGAGACACTCAGAATCAAATTAATAAAGAAAGAGAAGTTTTTATTCTTGCAAAAATAGGCCCAGTCGCCAACACAGCAGTTACACTGTGTCGTGAGTGAGACGCCTTCAGGGAGACATGAGACAGCTCTTATAGTCTTTTCAAGGCTGTAACTTTCACCCACCCAGATAAGGCCCTTACTGCTGTTAGTCTCTAAACCGACATAAACCGGTACTGGCCAAAACTGGATGTCCCTAAGGTCAGAGGTCCTGTCCCATATGTTCCTGAAACGTCACCCACAATCATGTAGACATTTATATTTCACTCATGGAATAGGTTCAATGGAAACACACGGCTCAGACAACCTAGTAATCTTCACTAATGATTAAAATTTCCATAACAGGACCAAAAGCAATTAGACAATTGACTCAAAAGCGGTTTCATTGACTGGTGTTATTTCATCAACAATAGAGTGTCGAAGTTACGACGTCACTCTGTAGGCCAAAACGTGGAAGTGAGCATTTTAGCAATTTATTTAGCATTTTAGCACTCCCGGTTCCCTCTCTCTAAAGTCTGGGATTTTTGAATGGGTTTTTGCTAAATCTCCTGAAATAAGGTCTGTGGTGAACAAAGCCTCTAAATATTTTCACGTTTTGATCTATGACATAAAAGACACCACATCATAGTACCGAGACCGCTCTCATTAGAGTCACAAATGATCTGCTCTAGATCACAAATATCACAATGTGTTCTGAATGAGACTTCTTCAGTGCGATCTCCTACTGATAAAATTTGTGCTTTCAATGAATCTCCCAGTTGGCCCGTATGTGTCAGTTTTATTTCATCCTGCAACCAAAGTGTGACACAGACATATCAATTGTGATTTAAGCATCTAAAGTGTTATTGTTTATTATATCCAAAACAATCAAAATGACTCCGCAAAAGAACAGAGATGAGACGTGTGCTCTTTTGGCAGATGCTTTTATTCTTGCATTGCATTGAAGTTGTACATTTGATCAGTTTGTTTTTATAATACCAAACTGCACTTTGCAAAGAAAGCTTTTAAAGCAATATTTCAAGCACGTTCTTCAGTCTCACTGTGAAATAAAAAAAATCATAGTTTAAAAGCAACTGCCTTGATATATCCCATTGCCTTCGCCTTCATAGTGCACTGGTTGATTGTTTTGACAGCCAACAGTTACAACATACAGGCCTTTATTACATCTTTCAATGACACGCCTCCCTCCAGTCCTTTCACAGTGAACCATATACACCTGGAAGTAGCGTGTACTTGTGTATAAGTCATCCCCTATGTAATAGTCCAAGTCACTGCAGATTCGTGTTATATTTTCTTCGCTGTCCTGGATGAAGGAATATGTGTGACTTCGGTCACAGATTTTGTTTTTCACCATGTAGATCAACCAAGCATCCCTATCACTGGTGTTAAATTGAGTTGGGAGAATGTGTTTCCGCTTGAATTGATTAAAGCTCTGACAGTCTCCTCTATCGCTGACAGCCAGAATCAACAGGAGCCAGAGAAGAGCCTCGGATCTCATCCTGAGGAAAATGGGAGAAAAGAGCAGGTTGGGAAAGTATACAACACTGTAAAATCGAAAAAGTTAGACTTACTTAGAAAAAGCATGCACCCCTTGGCTTTTGTATGACAAGCAGAGGATTATTTTGTACAATTGTAGAGTTTCACGTTTTGCATCTTGAAATAAATATTTCTATTCTCTTGTGTTTGTTTAGAAGATAACAGCCTTTAAATCTCTTTTGTAAAAGCTATATAAGGCATGAATAGTTAACTGACCTACTAAATGCTTCATAACTACACCTGAATTAATCATAAATTACAGCAGGAATAAAATGCGTTAATAAAGCATTTATTAACACGCTGAGTAACTATTACTATCTATAAATATACATATAAATAGTTACTTACACTTTCGAAATGATCTTATGAATCAATGACAACTCCCAAATAATTGGTTTGCATAAATAATATAATATTTAATCTAGAAATTATAAATTGATCATTAATAAAGTATGAAAATACAATAATTAAACAAACACATTATAGATATCAAGAAAAAAACATTTATAGATCTATTTTTCAAAATGCCCCTTTGTGAATGTACAAAATCTGCTTCACCGTCGCTGTGCTGTCGTCATCGTTTAAAGCCCGCCCCAACGTTTCTGATTGGTGCCGCAATTTCGGCGGATTGGAAATGGGCTAGAATGAGCTCTTTGCCAGACTAACTTTTAGAGCAAATCTAAATTTTCCGGAAGTTGTCTGGGTTTTCCCAGGCTACTTTTACATTGTGTTTGAACATAAATGTGTGTTGGCAGTGTGTGAGCAAAACCACCCTAGAATGATAAAAATAAAATCCAATCCATCTCAATAAATCATGTGCACTGTCTCAGAACGAGCTGTTCTAAGATTCAGCTCTTTGTGACACAGAATTGACCTATGGCTAAGCCACGCCCCCTCCACTCACTCTGACAAACGGCACGGGCTTGCGCTATGGCAGCTGTCACAGTAGGGGACATTTCACAGGAGGCAATTGGTGATTTTTGGAGACAGAAAAATTATATATCATATTGAAGTCACCTAAAGGGCATTAACTATGCATTGGAGGGTTATATTAATAATTTTATTGTTGAGAAGGTCGATGAAAAGCTTCAGCTCCAGGCAGAGATGTACAGGTCACAGTGTAACAATGATAACCCGCTTATCGTTGCCATCACCGTTTGGTGCTACAGTATTTACATGAATCGTTCAGCACAACATTTTTAACATTTGGTATCTGGGTTATTTACAGATATACGTTAATGAAGCTAAGTGACATGTACAACGCAGCTAGAAGCTAACGTTATTGTTTTCCAATGTACGTCTAACGTTAGACTAACGTTACGTTAGAGATTTTAAAGATAACGTTCAAATACGTTATTGACTTAACTTATATCAGATGTAGACATCCTTGTTTAATTTATCCGCCGCGTTTAGTTGGTGTTGTGGTCTAGCTAACGTTACCCCATAACTTTATCCAGAGCAGACACTTATCTCGGTTGAGATGTGGCTTGGGAAAGGGTAAAAAAAAAATACACACCGTCGCCCAGCCTCTCAGGAACCTAGTGTCAGAGTTGCATGTACCCCATGCACACTGTTTGACCATTTTAAACTTAAAATAACAAGAAAAAACGAATGAAAACTGACTAACTCCAATGCATTTCAATGGAAGTGGAAGCAGAGAATGTCCGAGTGTATTGAGGTTTGCTGCGCTCTGTGATTGGCTCATCGCATCGCGAGGGCGTGGCTTAGTGAGATGGCTCTGGGTCAATTGAGCAAGGGGTTTGATTGACAGTGTGGTTGTGGCCTAGACCCCGCCCTCGGTGATCTGTACACCATCATCCATTGTTTCAATGACAGCCGGTAATGTCTCCAAGAATAATAAGTGTTCTGTCGTGGGATATGATGTAATAATGACATACATAGTAGTTTTCACTTATTTCCGACATCAGAGCCACTGAAAACACAGTGGATGTTTTGTATTTTGGAAGTTTAAGTGGCGCCTTTCCTTCGTAAATAAGTTTATGTTTGAGCGAATCATTTTCTGACAGACTGTTTTGTGAATGAGAGTCAATTGAAAGCAGGTCTTGCTTCAAAGTTAATCCTCAAGTGTGGATCGTCGTCTACTGTTCACCATCAAACGACACGACACCTCTAGTAACAGTAAGTGTATTTTATGATTTTTGAGCAAATAAGTCTTTTCAGTCAATGTCAGCCAATTCAACAACAAATGCGTCTAAAGTTGTTGTCGTCGTAGGCTGTCTGTGTATATAATTTAAACCTTGTTTGTATAGTGTGTAACCACACGTTTATAAATATATATATTTTTAAAGATATTGTATTAAAAACTGCATATATGTTGTTGTTCTGTAAGTTAGCCATCTCCTCACAATTGCCACAGAAGCACCTGTATGACAAGTAAACATGACGCAACAGGTCCCTCGCATTAATGTAATTTCGCTTGTACGTAGCAAACTTTATCACAGAATGTGTATGTAGTTTCAAAAAATTGCGCCAACGTGTGTCTGTGTGTGTTGCACATCCATAATTTCAAAGGGGATGCGATTACAACTCTATGGCTGCGTCCGAAATCGCGTACTATGTGAGTAGGTACTACATTTAAATAAGAACGTACTTCGCGACCGTTAAAAAAGTACGTTCTATATAGTATGAATACGGGTAGTATGAATGAATTCCGGACGTGTACATGCGCCATGTTGGAAATGTCACGTGACATGACTCAGCCCTTCTGCTTACTGACTGCCATAGGTATGCAAGTGACGTCCTCATCCAAAGGCAGGTCGGGGATATGCAGCTCATTTGCATTTAAGGTTGTATACACCAAAACAGCTCATTTTCAAACAGGCCCCAAAATGACATTTTCAAATGGTTATAATAAATTAACTGTGGGGTATTTTGAGCTGAAACTTCACAAATACATTCTGGGGACACCCAAGACCAATATTACATCTTGTAAAAAGGGGCATAATAGGTGCCCTTTAAGAGTTTTCTGAGTAAAAAGGCATAGTATGTGAATAGATTTTGGCCAGATTTACTAAACACTTAGTGTGAGACCGCAATTACCAAAAAGCGCAGATGGGAGTGGAAGGTTCTACGCATGATCTACTGATTAGTAGTGGTTAATAAATCTGGCCCTAAATAAAGTTATCTAAAAAGTGTTGGTTAGAACAACTGTTGAATGTAACAGTGTAGTTTGAGAGCTGTGAAAAGTGAGTAATGTTGTCAAATGGTCATTTTCAGTATTGTGTTTCAACCATGAGACACTTTCTTAACAGCAGCAACCAATGTCATTTTGTTGACGGTAGGCTACATGATCGATTAGCATGTATGTCAGGCAAATAGTGCATTAATTTTTAACAAATGAATATTTACTGTTAAATTTGAACTTTACTTCGGTTAATGGGTAACACTTTATTTTACGACCCGCAAACAACTGCGTAAGTAAACCGAAATAATGGTGTGCGTTTCTGTAATTATATTGTACTTCCGTGTAGGTATAAGGGAACAATATGTTAGGTTTTGGGTAATAAAGCTTTATTTTAAGCTGTTAACTGCGGGGTAACAAGCAGATATACAAGCAAATTATTTATAATGTAATTATTTTAAGACTAACAGGTACCTATTATGTTTATATATTCCAGGCAAAAATTGTACATCTGTTGTATATAAAAGTTATCATCACATTTCTGGCAAAATATGTTCTTGTGCAATTTTACATTTAACTTTGGCATCTGTGGGTTGACTTAACATTAAGTAACCTAGTAAAAGAAAAGCCAAGAAATTAATTTTTATCATACTGTGATAAATAATTAATAAATAATAAAATATTTTGCTTGTATATATGCTTGTTTTATTACCCAAAACCTAACATATTGTTCCCTTATACCTACACGGAGGTACACTATAATTACAGAAACGTACACTGTAATTTCGGTGTACTTACGCAGTTGTTAGCGGGTCATAAAATAAAGTGCTACCATTTTCCTTTATAAATCCTCAAACCCAATGCGTTTGAATCAGCTGGTGTTTATGCGGTTTTAGTGAATGCATAAAGTCAGCACAGACGTAAATACTCACATTAATCAACAACATGATCCACTAATTAACCACAAACAAAATACTGAAAGGGAACATTATTACATAAATCAATTAAAAAGTAACCCACTTTACTAGTGTTTAAGAGATCAAGCCATAATTAAAAAGAAACCAATTTAAATAATGAAAAACTGTGCATAAACAAAACAACTAGAAGCATACTAATAAAAAATCCATATATTAGACTGAAGTGTTTCAGTGATTTGAAGAGCATACGGATTTACCTGTTCTGTTCTTGTGCTTGTGTAAGTAAAGGAGAGTCTCAGTCTGAGTTTGAGGACAGAAAGCATCAGCTGTGTGTGAGACGCTCACTGAACTGATATTTATGGGGATAAAAAGAGAGAGATGTGTGAAAATGCATCATGTTTCTTGGAAATGCAGCACCAACTCATTTCTTGAAATATGAGTGGTATCGTGTCTAATAATAATAATGTGGATGGTTTGAAGGCATCTTCACACTAAAGAAGATGATCTCTTCACACTTAAATTATGCGGTTAACACATGATGAGTGTGTTCAACTAGACAAACAGTCAAAGTGCATGAGTACCAACAAAAAAGACACATGCACTAAAGTCATGCACGATAGTCTGACCAAACATTTATTTTGGTGCTCAGAGTTAGTAACTGGAAAGTTGCAGGTTTGATCTCCTGATCATCGACAGCAGACTGCTGTTTTTAAAGATCAATCTCCTCAAATGCCCTTTTAACTTTTGATTATGCACTTTTACAAGAAATATTATAAAATACTTTTGTATTGATGCTTCAAATTCAACAGTATGCTACAGGAAAATGTTTTTAGAAAATTTGGTAACACTTTACTTGAAGGGGTGTGCATAAGACTGACATGACACCTTCATATGAAGTTTTATGCATGTTTATATGACAACTGTCATTAAGTGTCATTCGCTCAGTTATGACATTTTTAATGCAAATATGACATTGTTTGAGATGTCTTTGTTATGACATCTTTACATAAACCAATAGATCATAACCTGTCAGTGTGTTTGTCATGACAACACAACCTGTCATAAACATGACATAGCAGATTAATGAACAAACAAAAGGTGCCCTATACTGTTTTGTTTTTTTTAATTATTTTATAATGTTTCCTGGGTTGCCCTTATAATGTTAGTATGTTTTTTAGATCAAAAATAGTCATAATTTAGAAATAAAAGGCATTTTTCCTAGCCTGATTTTAGCCTCTGATCTGAACACTCTGTTTGAAGGGGCGTGTCTGCTGTGTGTAACCGGCCCCTGCTGTGATTGGCTGACATGCTTGCATATGAAATAGCTATGTATTACATGTGAAACTCTCTCGAATAATTTTACTCCAGCTATTATAGGTTTTTACTATTACAGCTATCGAGATTAACGAATCGTGAGATGTTTTTGAAGTATTTAGATCTATTCCCGTCACATAAAATGTTGCTGTGTTGAGCAACCAGAGGACAGTGAGTGTGTCGATCGCGAGAATGAAGATCTTATCATTGCAATGCAGTCTCTCTACTCTCTAATGCAGCAGAGTAGACACGATGATGTAAATACAGTTAACGTTAGAGCTTAGTTGTGCAGTGTAACGTGCGTCATTGAATTCATACCCAGCAAACATTCGGACGTTTATTGACCGTTGAAAAGACGTCCATCCGAGACGTCCCGTCATGGTTGAAAAATAGTTCCAAAATGGAAGTTGAACCGACGTCTTCGATGTCATCTGGCCGTGAACTGCACGTCTTTTCTGCGTGTCCACGGACGTCAATGGGCTTTTTTTTTTTTTTTTAGTTCTGCGGGATCCCAGCAAACATTGGTCCGACGGCGACGTCGTGTCCCTGGCCAAAAATAGTTGCGGCCAGGACGTCATAAATCGGTAAAAATATGTAACACAGAAAATTTCCTAAAAATGCATTCAGATACATTTGTACATGTCTACAGTTACATGCATAATAGTTATTTTAACTTTTAGGTACGTGTAGTTATACAGTGTATCGGGTGAAAGGACATCACTTCGCGACGTCTTTTACACGTGTATTTATAGTCCATCATGACCCTATGAAATCCTTTGTTAAATATGCAAAAGCTGCGCAGCTTAAAAATCCAGCTAAAACCAGCCAAGGCTGGTTGGCTGGTCTCCCAGCCTGGTTAGTTGGTTTATCAGGCTGGTTTTAGAGGGGTTTTGAACACTTTTTCAGCTGGTCAGGCTGGTCTTAGCTGGTCAAGTTGGTAGCCAGGCTGGGAGACCAGCTTAACCAGCTAAGTCAGGCTGGGAGACCAGCTTGACCAGCTAAGCCAGGCTGGGTGACCAACTAAAACCAGCTACTTCCAGCTTAAACCAGCTAAGACCAGCCAACCAGCCTAGGCTGGTTTTATCTGGATTTTTCAGCAGGGGCGCTTAATCCTCGCATGGTTTATACCGCAATAATTAATGTAATTGCCGAAGTAGTTTTTAAGAGGTTGTGAAGACGTCCAATGGCGTCCTTTACACGTCTAGTCTGGCTGTGAATATACGTCCACTGGCGTCTTTTGCACGTCTAGTCTAGCCAGACAGAAAAAAATATCCGGAATTATCTTTATGAAATACACGATTTGTATACAATGTAAATTATAATCACAAAATGCCCAGTGTAGTCAAGTGATTGCAAAGCCACTGCATTTATTCATGTTGTGGATCAGTTGTAAGTTGACGTCCAGTAGGTGACGTCCTTTACACGTGCATTTATAGTCCGTCGTGACCCGCTATGAAATCCTTATGAAATATGAAAAAGCAATTATGCTTACACCTTGGCTGATATTGCAGTAAATAATTTAAATGCCCCAAGTAGTTTTTACGAGGTTGTGAAGTACAATTACTTCCTCAACCTTACACTTAACTGTGCTACCGAGATTTGATAACAAATCCCGCGATATGATTGATTATCTCGCGATAAAGCAACCAGGCAGCCAATTTCCTGTTTTTTTCTTTTTCTTCAACCACGACGAGGCGAGAAGGACTTGATGATCGGGGGCAATTTGTTGTACAAAAAGTTGACGAACTACTACAAATCTGCTGTTTGGTAAGTACATTTTGTATTATTTTATAAATGTGATTTGAGTTTTGTAATTTGATTCAGGAACCGGAATAAATGATGCGTACACTTTCAACTGAAAGGTTTGAGTTTGGATAAAATTAACTAGGCAGAATTTCAGATTGCGAACATTTTTTCCGCCGGTGAGACCAGATTTTGTTATAAGTCGCGCTTACGCGACCGCAACGTTGCAAAAGTCAAACAAAATGAAAGCGGAACGAATCTTGCGCTACTCCTGCACGGATCCTTTATTAGTTCGGACCATTAAGGATCTTTCATATTTCAGGTCCAAGTCAGGTTGTGTTTTGCATAACATAATATCCCAAAACGGCTCTGTGATTGACTGTGTTTATATCTTACACTATAATAAAACACTATAATAAAATTAACTTTTTGTGCAGGTGAGGTAATGCACAATGAAAATAGGCACACATCTGGATGGAGACTATCTGATTCCTCAACCATGGCCTCAGCTTTAAATGTAAAGTATTGACTGTACATTTTTGCACATTTGATTATAAATACTGTCTGTATGCAAAGAATAAATCTTATGTTTTTGATAATATTTGGAATGTAATGTGAGTGTATTATTGTCACAAGACAGTTAATGTACTCTCTATAAGGCAGTTTTCCAGTTTTGCTCTGTTCCAAGTCTCTAACCATACTCTAAAGATTACCAATTTTGTGATCACTTTTGTGAATTTTATTTTTCAATTTGTCTTTTAGGGTGACATAACGAACAGCCATCTGTCAGACGTAGAATTCAGGAATCCTTCTCCAGGCCATCTGGCAGAACCGAAAGAGGCATGGCATTTTTCTTGTTTTATGTCCTTCACAAAGTTTTGTTTGTTTGTTTTGTAATGGTGTTTATTGATTAAGGTGTCTTTACTTACTTAAAATATTTTTCACCCATTTGTTTTTAATGTCTATAGTCACCAGTTCCAAATTCTGCATTATCATCCCAGTCCCAGAGGACACCCCATTGTATGTGAGAACTTTGCTATTTGCATCTTATTTTTTTTACACAATTTACATTGAATACAAATATAGAGCCTATGTCTGTCATTGCTCAAGAAAAAGCTAAAGTACAGGCAGCTAATTTCATAGTATCTAAGTCATTATTACACTGTTAAGTGAACATTTGAACTGCAGTCTTATTACACAATTTAAAATATGCGCAGACCAGGTGTAGCCAACCCTGGTCCCCGAGAGCCACTACCCTGCTTGTTTTCCAACTATTCCTGCCCTTGCAGCTTCTGAAAACACACCTAATCCGTTAATAGTCAGCACTCAGCAGTAGGACAGGGATAGTTTGGAAATAGCAGGAGTGAGGCTCTCGAGGACCAGGGTTGGCTACCTTAGAGTTAGTCATTATGAATGATCATTATATGGCTACAATAGTTTACTAGGTAGAATTGGATAACAATAAGTCTAAATCCTTGCTACATCCACAAAGTAGGCCTAGTTAAAATAAAACAATATTGTTTACTGTTTTTTTTATTTTTTTTATTTATTAAACTACTCTCTTATTTAAAGGTATAGCGGAGGATCTTTCCGAATTTTAGAGAAGACCCGCCCTCTCCAATTTAAAAAAAAAAAAATGCACATGCACAAACACAACGCTCTTGCTCCCGAGAGGGAACGCCTACTATTACGCCTTGCACAATTATGTTGCAAATTGTAAACTAACTCAAAAATATTCATAAAAAAGACAACATGTCAAATGCCCTTCCGTATTTTATTTACTTATTATACTGATCGATTGAGTGACCGGGGACTCAAGACATGATATGTCCAACCCTGTATCACACAAAATACGATCTGAGGAAACAATTTTGCAAATCGCAATTACGTTACATAGCAACATATAAGCAGTGCTATTACGTTGGTCCTTAATCTATATGTCTCATTGTTAATACGTAGATATTAATAAGTTATTTTTATACATAGTTGCGTATGAAGAAGTAGCTTGTTGCATTTGTGTAATAATAAACACACAAGGTTTTAGAATATGAACACATGAACACGCAAGGTTTTAGAATATTTCAGCGTGATACCATTTACCATTTTGGTCAAAAGGCTACTTTAGACAAATTGAGATGTTTACCGTGTCTATGCGGTGCATGACTCGTGCCAGGGCTAGCATTGTTAAGTAGCTTGCATTAACTTTTACTAGTGATTTTAAATGGATTTCTCCAAATAGCATGACAAACTTTACCTGTCTAGTAGAATCTTCGCGACTGCGGCATCAGTGAGAAGCCCAACCTGTGCTTTTAGCGCACGCCAGCGTGTGATATTCACCCAAAATCACTCTGGTCTTGTTTCTATATTCTGCGGCCTTTCTCTTCTTATCATACACTTCGTATACATTTTTTTTCTCTTTCGACCCTCAGCCATTTTCAAAGGAATGGCTGAAACCGCAACTCCGACATAATACACCTGAAAGTGAAAACTACATAGGGACGAGCACGTACGACGGCCTTACGTAAACATATCACCAGAATGATTGACACTTAGATCGACCAATAGTATAGACTACCCACCCGGAAAAAGAAAATCCTCCGCTATACCTTTAAGTCTGTGTTATGTTTTCATGAACAGAATTTCCTAATGTTGTCTTGCCTCTTGACCGCTGCATTCGGGAGAGAACACAGAAGTGAGGGTATGTACGTTAATGTTTTTTTTCCAGCCATGGGATTGTCCTATCCAAAACTGAATTTACATTTTACAAATATTTACATTTTGAAATAGGTGGTACCAGACCCTCAAGGAGCGCTTACCCCATTTCAGTTCAAAGTATTATATGTGGTGTGGAGTTCGCTGTCAACCTTTGTTAGAAGTACAAGTATTTAACCAAGTATCAAATGATTATTGATACCATTTTTATCACTCGCTGTCAATTCAGTCTCACCTAAATTGACCTTTATGTGGACTTTTTTTTGTTTTGTTTTTTGAGGTGAAGTGTAATTTCTGTGTAATTTCTTTCAAAGAATCATGTCAAATGCCTTAATGGTGAGGGGTGGTGGCCAAATTGATAAGATGCTTTTCCACGCAACACCTTTGTATTGTAAGTAATTCAAGGTAATTTTGCCCTTATGACATAAAAAAAAAACATATCTTGTTCCTTGTCTTAATATTAATGTAATTTTTATTTTTAACTTTTATCTAAACAGGGGACATTCTTTAAAAGACCACCTGTCTGGATGTTTTATTTTAATTATTTCACTATTCAAACGCATTTAGTCCATAACATCTTTTATTGGCATAAGATTATTATAGAAAAATAACATTGCTATTTTATATGCAGGAATATATATACATACATACAATAGGTAGCAAGATCCCGCAGAACTAAAAAAAAAAAAAGCCCATTTAGACGTCCGTGGACGCGCAGAAAAGACGTGCAGTTCACGGCCAGATGACGTCGAAGACGTCGGTTCAACTTCCATTTTGGAACTATTTTTCAACCATGACGGGACGTCTCGGATGGACGTCTTTTCAACGGTCAATAAACGTCCGAATGTTTGCTGGGATCTTGCTACCTATTGTATGTGTGTATATATATTCCTGCATGTAAAGTAATTACACCCATATTGTATAAGTTCGTGAAAGTCAAATCAATTAGGATATTTCTACACATATGAACTTGACTAGGTTCTAAAACAGGTCCAAAATCGGTCCGGTCAGACCTGGACGTCTATAAAACCGTTTAAACACGTCTACATCAACACATTACTTCTGGACTAAAGCAAAATAGTTATAATTTACAACATTTTATTGAGAATATTACATTTGAAATGTCTTCCAGTTGTTAAACTGCTAAAATAATAATAATAATAAAAATAGTACAATGACATTTTCTGACAGTTGTGACAGTTTCACATATGGGTTAAGCAGCCACCCAGACAGCAAACTGACATTGAATCAACGTGGAAACGACGTCTCTCATGACATTGAAACAACGTTGATTTTGCTCATTGAATTAACGTTGAACCAACGTCAGACGCGGCATTCTTCAAAGCTAAATGAAATCGAAAATTGGTTTGCTTTCATAACGTTGAAACAACGCGTTGATTTCATGTTGATTTTCCGTTAGTTTTGAAAGAATGACGCGTCTGACGTTGGTTCAACGTTAATTCGATGAGCAAAACAATGTCAGATCAACGTTGTTTCGATGTCATATTTCCACGTTTATTCAATGTAAGTTTGCTATAACACAATTACAGGAACAGTCAACACATTCTATAATTTTACAGAAAAGTCGTTTTAAAAATATTCCACCATTGATTAATAGAAGTCAGAGCTGTGGCAGTACTAACTTTCAGTTACTTCAGTCTTGCATTACTGTTAAACAGACATAAATAAAATTATTTAGAGTCTTTGAAATTTGTTTATGGCTTTAAGGTTTTGGTTTTGTTTATGGCTATTTTTATATCCAGCTCTTCTTGAGTGTGCTTCAGGTGTTCGCCATTGCTGCATCAACGTCTTAATCTGTGGCGTTTGGGCTCCACCTCGTCACAATCACAGCATCTGAGGGAAGAGAATGCGGTTTAAAAAAAAGGCTCATTTTTAGGTTAATTACGTACGGTGTTTGAAAATGTCTGAAAATAGCAATGTTATTTTTCTGCATAATAATCTTATGCCAATAAAAGATGTTCTGGACTAAATGCGTTTGAATAGTGAAATAATTAAAATAAAATTACATTAAGGAACAAGAGATGTTTTTTTTTATGTCATAAGGGCAAAATTACCTTGCATTACTTAGAATACAAAGGTGTTGCGTGGAAAAGCATCTTATCAATTTGGCCACCACCCCTCGCCATTAAGGCATTTGACATGATTCTTTGAAAGAAATCACACAGAAATTACACTTCACCTCAAAAAACAAAAAAAAAAAAAGTCCACATAAAGGTCAATTTAGGTGAGACTGAATTGACAGCGAGTGATAAAAATGGTATCAATAATCATTTGATACTTGGTTAAATACTTGTACTTCTAACAAAGGTTGACAGCGAACTCCACACCACATATAATACTTTGAACTGAAATGGGGTAAGCGCTCCTTGAGGGTCTGGTACCACCTATTTCAAAATGTAAATATTTGTAAAATGTAAATTCAGTTCTGGATAGGACAATCCCATGGCTGGAAAAAAACATTAACGTACATACCCTCACTTCTGTGTTCTCTCCCGAATGCAGCGGTCAAGAGGCAAGACAACATTAGGAAATTCTGTTCATGAAAACATAACACAGACTTAAATAAGAGAGTAGTTTAATAAATAAAAAAAATAAAAAAAACAGTAAACAATATTGTTTTATTTTAACTAGGCCTACTTTGTGGATGTAGCAAGGATTTAGACTTATTGTTATCCAATTCTACCTAGTAAACTATTTAGTAGGGTAGGAAGGGGGGGGGTTCACCTGCACCCGAAAGATATATTTTTTTAACCTAGTTTTTTGTAATCCTTAAGGTGTCTAGAAAAGGAATTTTGATGTTCCCCGCGCAAATTTTTGTCCCATATGTGATTTTTTTGTAACATCTTTTGTGTCCGTGCTTGATTTTTGGCTGCGGAAAATGAAAACTTTAAACCTACATAGAATCTGAACAATACATCCTACAGACACAATCTACCCCATTTTCTCTTCGTCTTTGCATGAGGAATTGATAGATATGAGGATTGTCTTGATTAGATGATGTATAGTGCATAAAAACTCAAATAAACACCAAAAAATGTCAAAAAATGGTGACATTAGATCACTGGAACTCCTCCCCTATGGACCCTTCTGATATATGTTTTCTAACTTTTGTATATTTACAGTCTTTAGGATGTCTAAGAAGCAAATGTTGATGATCCCCACCTGAAATATTGTCACATGTATGTATTTTCTGGCTATATTGGTTGCCACCCTGGATATCCAAAAAAGCAAAAAAGCACATTTATAGGCAGTCTGTTTTTCTCCTTTAGTTTTCGATTTGATAAATCTCCTCCATTTTTCATAACTGGCTATGTAAATTATTGTTGAGCACATGTTGAGCTTGTTCCCAATGTTCACTTGTTGCACATTAAAAATATAACATAGATATTTTAATTAAATAATACATTTTAAGATACAACGTGTTCAAAAATATGCATTAATTAAAAATCACATCATGTAATTAGGATTCACTGGTAATGTGAGGTTTATTTTAACATACATTTTTAAACTAACTGCACAAATACATAGCCTACACCATGCACCAACACACAATTAGAAAGGTCTTTCTTGGTGAAGAGCATTTAGCGTTATGGAAGCCCACATTAACTGGCAGATAATGGTCTCTCCAGATTTCTGTTAAGCAGTGTTGTAGTCGAGACCACCTCACTCGAGTCCGAGTCGAGACCGAGACCAGAGAGAGTCGAGTCCGAGTCAAGACCGAGTCCATAGAGAGTCGAGTCCGAGTCGAGTCCGAGACCAGAGACGGTCGAGTCCGAGTCGAGACCAGTGAGGGTTGATTACCTAATTTACTTTTATTTACTTAGAGAAATCCTTTTTTTTTTTTTTTTAATGAATTTACTTAGAGTTTAAAAAATATGATCAGTTTAGGGTAAAAAGGCCGCATAGTAGGTGGTGTTAAAAGTAATTTTATTACAATTTGTCATGCGCAGTTGCACTCTAGAAAATCACCAATCACTGGGCGTGTCAATCAATTTAAAGAAATATTTTATTAACATACATTAATAATCATGAAAAATATTTTGAATTGAACTCGAGTGGACTCGGGAATAAGTCCGAGTCCTAAAAAAAAAAAAATGTTCGAGTACGAGTCAATTCCTAGTCCAAATGCACACGAGTCCATGACAAGAGCAAGACCATTAAAATATGGTCTCGAGACCGAGTCCGAGACGAGTCCGAGTCTCGAGTACTACAACACTGCTGTTAAGTTGAAAAAAAAATGTTATGCTTAATAATTCATTAATTATACTTTCATTATTATTATTATTACTACTGGTGAGGGAATGTGTTTCATCTCGAGTGGGACAATCTGAACAAAATAACAACAAACATTCATGGCTCAAGTGTGGTGAACTGGACCTGTGGGATCATGATACGGTGAAACCTGAATTTGATGCCCCCAACTCTCTGGAAATTCCACGAATGCTCCCACTATACGAGTGGAAAAAGACGCGCTCCCTTATGGTAGATATACCTGAGACCCTAAATTCATCATCAAGTCAGGATTAGATGATGTATAGTGCATAAACACTCAAATGAACACCAAAAAATGTAAAAATAAATTGTGACATTGGATCACTGGAACTCCTGTCCTCAGGACCCTATTGATATATGTTTTCTAACTTTTGTACTTTTACAGTCTTTATGATGTCTAAGAAGCAAATGTTGATGATCCCCACCTGAAACATGTTGGTCCAAATGAACATCTCCCATAATCAGTAGATACTATTCAAACCATTATATTGGTGTTATATTTATTGAAAAAAAAAAAAAAAAACAGAAAACCACTCATATATTCAGATACTGTATGTGTAATGTATATATGAAGAGTTCAGATGCAAAAGCCTCATTTGAAATTTGGTTCTAGAATTTTTATCAAGCTTGTGTATTTAAGTTCAGTAATTTCATTTAAATGACCATTAATAGGTAATCTTCATTGCCATTTAAGTGAAATTACTGAACTTAAATATACAAGCTTGATAAAAATGATAATTTTAGAAGAAAATTTCAAATGGCACTTCGAGGCTTTTGCATCTGAACTCTTCATATAGGGTATAACAAATCCCCGTTAGAATAAACTGAAATAGAAAAAAAGTGATTCTAATCAACCCCTCCTTGCACTGCCACCTTAACGTGGTGGAGGGGTTTGAGTACCCGAACGACCCTATGAGCTATGTTGTCCGGGGCTATATGCCCCTGGTAGGGTCTCCCAAGGCAAACCGGTCCTAGGCGACAGGTCAGACCAAGAACGGTTCAAAAAACCTTATGAGTGAAGTGAAAACAAGGACAGCCGGGGCCCCACCTTGGAGCCAGTATGTGAGCGCCTGGTGGCAGGGCCTCCCACACGGTGTCCGGCAGGGCTCAGTCCGAAGAAGCAACGTGGGGCCTCCTTCCCGTGGGCTCACCACCTTCAGGAGGGACCGTAAGGGGCCTGTGCTGAGAGGATCGGGCGGCAGTCGAAGGCGGGATCCCTGGACATGGAAACTAGCTCTAGGGACAGAATGGCTCCCCTGACCTGAACCCGAGTAGTGTTCAGTTATTGGACTTCTGTGCTAGTCACAGTTTGTCCACAACGAACACCATCTTCAAGCAAAGGGGTGTCCATCAGTGCATGCAGCACCTGAACACCCTAGGGCGTAGGTCGATGATCGACTTTGTGGTCGTTTCATCTGACTGCAGCCATATGTCTTGGACACTTGGGTGAAGAGAGGGGCAGAGCTGTCAACAGATCACAACCTGGTGGTGAGTTGGATCAGATGGCGGGAGAGGAAGCTAAACAGACTCGGCAGACCCAAGCGTACTGTAAGGGTCTGCTGGAAACGTTTGGCAGAGATCTTCAACTCCCACCTCTGGAGGAGCCTCGACCAGATCCCGAGGGAGGCTGTAGATATTGAGTCTGAGTGGACCATGTTCTCCACCTACATTGTCGAATCGGCTGCTCAGAGTTGCAGCCGTAAGGTCTCCGGTGCCTATCGAGGCGGCAATCCCCGAACCCGGTGGTGGACACAGGAAGTAAAGTATGCCGTCAAGCTGAAGAAGGAGGCCTATGGGGCCTGGCTGGCTTGTGGAACTCCTGAGGCAGCTGACAGGTACCGGCAGGCCAAGCGGACTCCAGCCCGGGTGGTTGTGGAGGCAAAAACTCGGGCCTGGGAGGAGTGCACTTTTATGATGGACAGATGCACTTTTATGATGGACAGATGCACTTTTATGATGGACAGATGCACTTTTATGATGGACAGATGAACTTTTATGATGGACAGATGCACTTTTATGATGGACAGATGAACTTTTATGATGGATAGATGAACTTTTATGATGGACAGATGAACTTTTATGATGGATAGATGCACTTTTATGATGGATAGATGCACTTTTATGATGGACAGATGCACTTTTATGATGGACAGATGAACTTTTATGATGAACAGATGAACTTTTATGATGGACAGATGCACTTTTATGATGGACAGATGAACTTTTATGATGGATAGATGCACTTTTATGATGGACAGATGAACTTTTATGATGGACAGATGAACTTTTATGATGGATAGATGCACATTTATGATGGACAGATGCACATTTATGATGGACAGATGCACTTTTATGATTGATAGATGCACATTTATGATGGATAGATGCACTTTTATGATGGATAGATGCACATTTATGATGGATAGATGCACTTTTATGATGGACAGATGCACTTTTATGATGGACAGATGCACTTATGTGATGGATAGATGCACTTTTATGATGGATAGATGCACTTTTATGATGGACAGATGCACTTTTATGATGGATAGATGCACTTTTATGATGGACAGATGAACTTTTATGATGGACAGATGCACTTATGTGATGGATAGATGCACTTTTATGATGGACAGATGCACTTTTATGATGGACAGATGAACTTTTATGATGGACAGATGCACTTTTATGATGGATAGATTCACTTTTATGATTGACAGATGCACTTTTATGATGGACAGATGCACTTTTATGATTGATAGATGCACTTTTATGATGGACAGATGCACATTTATGATGGACAGATGCACATTTATGATGGACAGATGCACTTTTATGGTGGACAGATGCACTTTTATGATGGACAGATGAACTTTTATGATGGACAGATGAACTTTTATGATGGACAGATGCACTTTTATGATGGATAGATGCACTTTTTTTTCTCAGTGATCGTAAATAAAACAAAATTCCATTTTCGTTTAATGAAAACCGTTAGGTCGTTATGGCACATAGACATATACACTAGACCTCACCTTGGATACGGCAGTTCATTGGAACGAATGCGTCAATAGAGCCGCCATCTTGAAACAGGGGAGCCCCTCCACTTTAATGCATCAGCGTCAATGTAGTAGACACAGTAAATCACCATAAATCATCATGAATGAGATTTTTCTTGTTTTTTTGGTTTGTTCCAATGGTCAGACATGTATTTATCATTGATTCCAGAAAGAAAAAAAAAATATTATTTTTTTTTTTAAAAACATTCTTTCTAGT